GCAGGAAGCGGTCATGATGTGTCCTGATCCGTTCAGATCCCAAGAAGCGGTTGGTGGCCGAGGGGTTTCCCAGTGTGTGGGCTGCGTAACGCGGGGCGCGGGGCGGGATGGGAGCCACGGTGCGGGGCTGCGCCCCGGCGCGAGCAGAGGCAGCGGTGACAGCGCAGGCTTCGTGCTCTGCTCTCCGTTCCACGCAGCCTCACGGCCTCTGGGCTCCTGCCATCGCTGCGTGACTTCCTCCACATGGAGGAGTTTAAGGAAAGAATGCCACCTGCAGATGAGTGTGGAGTTTGTCTGATTGGTTTTTAACTTCATTGAATACACTTCTCTCCTGCAAAACCTGTTTGCAGCGGGGGCAGCCTGCACTCAGGTACTGACGTGCCAGTGAAAATGGGCTCAGCACCAGCATCGGCATGAAGCAGTGCATATGTTAGAGCAAGGGGACCCTTCTCTGGGGAGTCTGGATGGATGCCTGGAAGATATAGATGGGTTTGACATAGACTCTGCAGATTATACCCTTCAAGATGGCATGTTTCTTACTCAAAAGAGAATGGGGTATGGTGCAAAGCAGCCAACACCACTGCTGCTGCTGTTTGCAAATAAATGCTAGGCATGGCGATACCTGTGGAAGAAACAGAGCAGCCACTGTGCTTGAAGAGAGAGTTTGTATGGCTTTGTACCTAAGGGCTGGCTCGGACTGCACATGACCCACTGGGCCTGGCAAGAGGTGGGATGGGGAGTTGAAAATGTGTCCATGGGGTCTGAAGGTCTCCTGATGGCTACTGCTCAGCACATGAACTAGCTCACAATATCCTTGGGAGACACTCAGAAAATAAGGGATGAACCAAAAGGCTCCCCCTGGAGCGGCATTGCCAAGTGTGGACTGCAAATGCAGCCAGGTTGGTAAGAGGTTCTTCTGGGCACGTCTGAAACGTTGCTGCAGTGCTGAATTCCCTTTTGCTTTGTTGCAGTTGCCCTGAAGAATCACAGTGCCGAAGAAGCAGGGAGCGGCGGAGCCCACGCGGGCGGACGGGCTCCGGGCTCGGCAGCTCCAGGGGTGCCGGAGGGAGAGCTGCTCCTGCAGGTTGGTGCTCACGTGGCCCGGGCACGCTCCGGCACGGCAGCTCCCTCTTCCAGCCGCTTTGAGTTTCACCTGAAGAGCAGCCTGCTGTGTTATTCATCACAGAATACCTGGGTGAAACACATTATGGTAGCAGGGGAGAAGCTGTCCAGTTCTTGATCTCTGTTCAATAATTTACTGATCAATACAGCTTTTTAATGAGCATGCAAAGCTCATTTTCTCCCTACTCTTGTTCAGTGACTTCAGACTGTCTAACTCATGATGGTTTGAGGTAGCAGAGGTTTAAGCATTGTTCAAGCACAAAAGAAAACGGAGAAAAAGACACTGTGGAGTCTTCTTAGTTTCTCAGACAGTGATGCTTAACATGTGGAGAGAATACACAGACACCAAGGGGCCAAATCTTCAGTCGTCCACATAGTGCAGGTGGCTGCAGGCAGGGGGTTCTGCAGGCACCCCCTGCCCTCGCTCTCCTGCAGCAAGCTGGAGTGGGGGAAGAGGTGTGATTTGGCCTTTGCTGTGGCTCCCACTAGGGCCTGTCTCCCTATGACTTCCAGGGCTGGAGGAACATCAACCAGAGAGGGTGAATGTCTCTGTTTTATCCCTTAGCAGCAGGGAGCTAAGTGCAGTCTGTCGTATTGTGTAGCCAAGAGACACTAACAGACACGGTCGCTGAACTGTTTTCCGTGTTCCCCTGAGAATCAGCACAATCTTGGTCACCCTTTTGCAGCCTGGCAGAGGTTTCTCGCATCTGGATGTATAAGATGGTGTGCCAATACTTCAGGACAGGGGTGTTGTGGATCGTTGTGGAATGGCCAGGCTCCCTTCCTGAGAGCAGGAAAGCATCTTCAAAGTGGCTGATGCTTAAGCAAGACTGAGAATTGGGTCAATAATCTCTGCTGAGCTACAAAGCAGTATTACCAAGCAGTGCAGGGTAACGCACACATTGTTTTGCAGGTTACTAAATCCTCCCCTGGTCAGGGTACTTAAGAGAAGTTAGAGTGATATAAGACATGCTTGGCTGACATGGGACAGAAATGCCTCAGAAGCTGCTCAAAGGGTTAAGGCGCGTGTGGTGGCACTAATTAACCTCTGCAGCAGATTCCCACACATTCAGGCCCACACAGTAAATAGAGTGTTTGTGCCCGGAATAAAGGGGGCAGGGGGAGATAGGGACCCAATGAATCGGGAATTGGCAGCAACAGTAACTGGACTTGGCCAAGAGGACTCGCTCGGCTCCAATTACTCCTGGTCCGATGTAAAGGCAAGGACCGACCTGGCTACTGCGGATTTCCTCTCTGTGGCCAGATTTAGTGTTACGGGTCTGGTTTTAGCTCTTGGCAGACACACTCTGGGGTGAGTGCTGCAGGAGGACCCCTGCCCTCCGTAGCACTTCCCGTTCAAGCTAGCAGTGGTGTCCCTGCAGGACCCGCTGCCCTGATAGGGAGAGTGACCAAGCACAGAGAACACAGTGTGTGGTTGGGGTCTGCAGTGCTGCTCCCTGGGGCTGGCAGCATTTTGAACTGTTCCTCCCTGGCTGTTGCTAACGCTCTGTCTGTAACACACGGAGCTGGGAAGTGGATGTCCCAAAGGACATCCTTGGGAGGAGGGGAGTGTTCACCCTGGCACACGCTCACAAGAACTGCGGCCCCACCTCAACCACCTACCTTCTTTTTAATGCAAACTGCTGCGCTGAAGATGCAGTTTATGCAGATCCCTAACAGCATATTTTCAGCCCAAATTCATTACGCACGTAGGGATGAGCCCTTCCTGAGGCTGACAGCAGCGCTGAGTAGCTCAGCCCATTCTTGCCTAGGAATGGGATGCTCCCTTGCATGCTGATTTTGCAGTCTTGGAGCTCTAAGAGAAGATGGAAAGAAAGGCCACTGAACTGTAAAACATGTAAGTTGTGTAGCATTAAAAATGCATCAGAAGCCTCAGATTGGCTGCATTTGCTCTTTTCTGGGGGGAGGGCTCGGTGCTTTGAGCCCGCACAGGCGAAGGAAGCAGAGTGTTTATTTTATGAAAACAGAGCACAACATCCGGAGACTGACTCCAGTGTGCTTGGGTGGAGGATGTGCATGAGCAAGGACACGCTGCAGGACACGGTGCTCGTACTGCACGAAGCTGCACACTAACCAGACCGAGGGACTGCGAGGAACAGGAGTGAGGCTGCGAGTGTCTTGTGGCTAATGTGTGCATCCCGGGACTCGCCTCCCAGCACACGCCGGCTTTGAGCTTTTCCTCTGCCATGAAGTACTTCAGAAGGATGTTCGTGTGCAGGTAGCACAAGTGCCTATAGCAGGTCCCCACTGAGCAGGAGTTTGAGACGGAAAAATTATTTGCCAAAGGGAAAAAGTACTTTAGGGCCTATATGATTCTGTAAAAGTGAGTCCTCTCTCCTCTTCCCCCTGTGCTAGAAGAAACTGATTTTGCAAAAAATTATTTTTTAGTTTTCATCTTTCCATTTTTAATGGCTCAGGTTCTTTCCAGCATTAGGTTGTCCACCCTGACTGCAGGGAGAGAAGTTGCAAGTAGCAGGAAGTGTTTGTGGGAGAAGAGCTCTTTAGAGCTTTGATGGAGAAGCTGAGTATGGTAGTGGGGACCATTCTGTTGGAGACACTCAGTGCAGGGTGTCAGCAGCAGAGAGGGCTCTCTCCAGCAAAAGCTCCCAAGCTCCTAGGCCTTATTCATGTCTCTGCTGTCCTCCCCAGCTACAGCAAGTCAGGAGAGAAGTTTTGAGAGGAAAAAGGCCACAGTCGCAGACCCAAGGGTCTCCCAGCATCCAAAAATTGCCAGAGGCCTCCCAAAGGACACAGAAACTCCCCAGTGGAGCTAGTAGGGGTCAAGATTAAATGAAGCCAGTGTGAAACACTGCTTTCATTCAAAGTTGTCAAAAAGTTTTACTTCCTCCAGAACACCAGAACAGTCCCACTCCTAATTGTGTCCAGTTTCATTCGGCAGGCAGCTCTATCACTTTATCTGTTCCTCACATAGTATGAGGATCAATATCCATATCTGCCTTCTGCCCCAAGAATGGAAGCCAAGGTTTCCATGAGTCTGAATTAGGCTACACTCAAGCGGGCGAATGCAGTTAGATGGGGGAGTTCGGACAAACCCAGCCACAGGCCCCATCCGTTTGCTTGGCTAGTACAGCTCTGCCAGCACCATGATTGCTGCAGTGTTGGTATTTGCTGAACGGGGGTGCTTTTTGTCCAATCTGAAAGAAACTGAACTAATGCTCTGTTCTGACACATCGCTCCGTGCAGCCTCCCAGGCACTCGGCTACACTGCAGTGTGTTGTGACATTTACATTACTTGAGAGCCTGGAAAAAAAAAGGAAGAACCCCCGTGGTCCCTCCTTTTTGGGCAGCAATTAAACAGGTCATTCAGAATTAAAAGGCCACTTGCTGAACCCTGTTTGCAACCCAAGTAGCTAAGAAGTAACCATGTAATATCGCGGTTCTCACAGGAGAAGAAGGGACAGTCCATCCTATGTCCATGCTGTAAAGAGAAGGTATCCAGCTGGGATCTCCAGGGGAAAAGTGTGTGGCCTGCTCATATTCCCCTCAGGACACCTAGGGCTGTCACCAGAACAAGGCCTTCGTTGTAGAAGCTCTGAATCTACTCTCACGTTCACATACGCTCCGTGCACTGCTGCATCTCATCTACTCTGTGCAGATTGCTCTTCTGCCTCTCTGCAGCAGAATTTAGCTTTTGCTAATTAGATTTTGCAGTCAGAGGCAGAGCTCCCTCCACTTTGAAGTAAGAAGCAGGGTCAGATGGTGCTGTTACCAATGTGCTTATGATGGAGAGAGACATAAGCAATACCAAGAGCTCCTGTGGCTCAGCTTGGGATTCCTTTTCTCTCCAGCCAACTGCCAAGCAGTGGATTTACCCAAGGGAAGCAGCATGGAGGAAAATCTAAGAATAAATTACAGTGTTTGGTTACAGCCCTGTTAGAAAAGCGTGATGTGAACATGGCCTTTAACTGCTGGCCTTCTCTCTCCCCCAGGCACTCAATGGCTTTGTGTTGGTGGTGACATCAGAAGGAGTGATATTTTACTGCTCGCACACGATTCAGGACTACCTGGGGTTTCATCAGGTTAGTAGGATGCCTGTGCTTTGGGGTGGTGGGTTTGCTCTTGGTAAGTTGATTTGGCCTTGGTGATGGAGGATAGGCCTAAGCTCCTTGCTGGGAGCTCTGCAGACATAGCAGGGTCTCTGTGGATTGTGTGTCCTGGGAAGAAAGCAGGACATTGATGTTACTGTGCTCTCAGAGTACCCTTCCCTTTGTAGGGCTCAAGAGAAGGAAGAGCAAGGGAGCTGCAACATGCAAAGATTTTACCCTCCATGGGATTTTGGTGGCTTGGGAATTTAAGATGTGAGGTGTCCTAGCTGCACTGAGACAATAGTGAAGGAGAGAGAAAAATGGTTAAATAGGAGTCTTTGACATAGTTTTATGCTCCAACACAGCCTTTGGGACAGAGCAGCCAGGCTCAGGAATTCAGGCGCAACCTGCACTGGGCCCTCAGCCCGCCCTGCGCTCCCGAGGGTGAGCCCTGCTCTGAAGGTAAGCGCAGGTTTCCAGGCCGACATGGGACATCCATCCCATCAACTCAGAGGCTAGTGGAGCTGCTCCTTCTTGCCTTCATCCAGAGATGAGTTTGTCCTCAACAGGATCCTGCCTTGCTGCGGGTGGTGTCTGCATGTGGCCACCATCATCACAGCAAGGACTCGTCCTAATGCAGGCTGGCAAAGCCACCACGTGCAGCTGCACAGCGCAGATGGTCTTCATGTGCTCTGCCATGTTCTACGTTATGGAACCCAGATCCCATGTGTGGCTTATACAGGGCCCAAATCTGTGGCTGAGGCGCAGAGTCCTGTTCCAGTGGATTTTCTGTTGCTTTGCAGACTGCTGCAGCTGTCGATACTGTGTCAGGGCTGCTGAAACCCCCCGCCCTTGCTGAGGACCACCTGCCTTTGCCTCTCTTGCTCACTCTCTCTTACAGGGGAGAAGAGTCTTGGCTCTTCTGCTGTCACCTACAAGCCTGATCAGCTGCCCCCAGAAAACTCAGCCTTCCTTGAAAGGAGCTTTGTGTGCCGGTTTCGCTGCCTCCTGGATAACTCATCCGGCTTCCTGGTGAGTACAGATCTGCACTGCCGTCTCCACAGCAGGATGGTGCTCGGATAATGATATTAGGCAGGCCGTGTGTCTGAATTCATCTGGGAATGGGGGAGCTGAAAGGGAAAATACTCCTGGAGCACAGGTGAGTTGGTCCTACAGTGCTACTGTGTCAGATGGTTCAGGGCCCATGAACCTCCTCTCCTTACTGCTGTGGAGATTCACTGCTGCTGGTGGAGGGCTGGTATCCCCTGTGGATTGTTTGCGTCAACTTTCCAGTGAGATGACTTACTTTCCATGCAACTTTCTTCTCTCATTTTTTTTTCTATACAGTTTAATAATAAAAAATGTGTGATACCAAACTCTTCTCTTTCAAGGCTTTCAACCTTCAAGGCAGGCTGAAATTCCTTCATGGGCAAAACAAAAGGTCCAAAGACGGGTCTCCACTGCCATCCCAGCCTGCCCTCTTTGCTATCTCCACCCCCTTGCAGCCGCCATCTATCCTGGAGATCAGAACCAAGAACACAATCTTCAGGACGAAGCACAAGCTGGACTTCACCCCCTTGGCATGTGATGCCAAGTAAGTAACAAAGCTGATTTGAGGGGGACCTGCTGTGAATCTGTGTTTCCTGCACAGTGGTTCATGCATGATATCCAGGTGGGCTCTGCCTCTGAGCACGGTGCTTTCTGGCTCTCTTGCAGGGGGAAGATTGTTTTGGGCTACACTGAGGCAGAACTGCGGATGTGTGGCACTGGTTACCAGTTTGTCCACGCTGCTGACATGCTGTATTGTGCAGAGAACCATGTCAGAAGTAAGATCTCCTTCCCTTCTCCCTTGTGCTCGCCTCTGAGGTTGATAGGTGGGCTTGGACTATGGTAGCTGTCCTGTCAAGCCAGGCAGCTTCCCGCCAGTTGCATACTCTGCTTCATGCCTTGCCATGATGCTCTAGTTGTTGTGGGGGTCTCTCTGTTGGAGGATTTGCATGTTTGTAGAGCTGGAGCCTTGGAAGAGCTGCAGCTCTCAAATCAGCCCCTAGCTCATGTGATGTGCTGCACAGGCCTCAGCACAAGTTTGTTTTCTCCTGCCAGTGATGAAAACAGGCGAGAGCGGCCTGACTGTCTTCCGCCTCCTGACGAAGGACAAGCGCTGGAAGTGGGTGCAGGCCAACGCGCGGCTCGTCTACAAGAACGGCAAACCCGAGTATATTATTGCCACACAGAGACCACTCGTGTGAGTGCTGCCCGGGATGGGGGTGAATGCACACTTGCCTTCACTGTGGACTGTGGGAAACAGGGCAGGGTGTTTGGTCATCACTGCTTCTTGCATCTCGTAAGGGAGTAGCCATAAGACACTGTGCTCTGACCAATGTTGTCCAACCTCACTGCAAGATACTGATCTTGCTTGGCGGCTGCCATGGGTGTGGGTGGGAGGGCAGGTCTGGGACCTGACCCCTGCAGTCAGAAGAATGGATTTTGTGACCTCTTTGACTCAGCCTGCAGCAGTGCTCTGGTTGTGTTCTTGAGGAAGAGCCTAGTCCATTAACAGCTCCCACAACCTTCTGCCCATGTGGGGGCAGAAACAACAGAGACCTCAAGCGTGTCGCAGTTGGGTTTGACAGTAAGCCAACACCTGCGTCCTTAGGAGGATGACTGCAGCACAGATGAGCGAGGCAAAGGGGTGACTTTTGTCCAGCAAAACTCTTTATCCCTGCTTATATTACAGATGTGTTTGTGTGTATTTGTGTGTGAGCAGTGCAGTCTGGTAAGAGCAAAAAAGGGTTGCAAAAGGGTTGCTGGGATCACAGTTACCCTTTGCAGGAAATAACTAGCAGCGCGTACACACATACAAAACCTAATTCTTCTTCCTCCTGTGCAGAGATGAAGAAGGAGGAGAACATCTCAGGAAACGGTCCGTGCATCTTCCCTTTACATTTGCAACGGGAGAGGCACTCTTATACCAAACTACTCACACTCTCGCAGGCTTCCCTGACTCTTTCCAGAACAAAGAGAAGAATAACAAGTCCAAGAAGACCTGCCACAGCAGTGGAAGGCACTCCTGGAAGGATAACATTGACCCCAATTCTCTGCTAGGTGCTATAACACGACAGGATGAGGCCATGTACATCTCCCAGACAGCTCCCACACACAGTCACTGCTCCAGCAGTAGTTTCCAGAACCACCTGGGAGATATGTCCTTATGGGGTGCACACAGAGAGCCCTGGAGTACACTCACTGCCCCACTTTCCTCAGGGGAAAGCAGCCTCAAGCAGGAACTGACAGATTTGCAGGAGAAGGACCCTCTCTTGGCCACCTTGGACTCACTCTCGATCAGCAGTGATGAGAGTTGTTCCAAGAGTGAACTGTCCAATGCACTGGAGAGTCTTGGTTTCAATGCCAAAGACTTGGAACTCCTGCTGTTGGATGAGAAAATGGTGATGGTTGATATGGATCTTGATCACTCCCCGTCCCTCAGCAACTTCCTAACCAACAATGAGATTCTCTCCTACATCCAGGAGTCTCTAATGAACAAGTATGAGGCGGGGCAACAGGTCAGGTCTTTGCTGGACACAACCCAGAGCCTGAATGAAGGCTTTGCTATGTACCAGGCCCAGGGGGAGGACAAGGACTCTCAGTACCTTTCCCAGCAAATGCAGCAGTCTGGAGTAGCCCCAGGCCAGTCAGCCGCTCCACCATGGGAATGGCCCCTCCACACCACCCTGGGGCAGCTATCCCCATTGCTGCTGAAGCCATCAGAGGAAGAGAAACAGCAGGCTGCTGGCTTGCAGTGGAAGCCAGCTGCAGAAGAGGGCTTGCTCCACTTCTTCCAGCTCACACAGGGCACGCAGTGGGCCAGAGCTCCCGGTTTGGGCCTGCAGAGCTCCCCCATGGGAGCCCCATGCCCACAGGAGCCACACAGGGCTCCACGGCTGGAGAGTCAATTCCCAGCTATGCTTGTGGCCCAGGTAGATGCTCTTCAGCCCTCTTCCAGTCACAGTCAGGGCTCGGGGTGTTCGGGATTGCCAAGCCCACTGAAACACAAGGCCAACCAGCACCTGCTGATGGACGGGGTGTGTGGCCACAACCCCCCAGCCTCTCCGCACCCCCTCCCTGGCAGCAGCAGCAGCCCGTGGCAGGACTATGTTTCCCCGCTCCTGGGGTCCCCAGCTCAGCCTGATTTCTATAGTGTTCACCGAGACTTGAACCCCCAGTGCCAAGGCTGCTCGAGTCCAGTGCACGGGCCCAGCACGTCAACAACATACGTGAACCTGAATGGATTGCCCAGCATGGAAACTGTGGACAGCACAGGCTCCCGGGAAGAGGTGGTTCCATACTCTGTTTTTTTCCCTCCTTCCTCATACCAGCTTATTTCCAAGAAGCAGCCAAGCCCTGTTACCTCAGCATCCCACCACCCTTTCCAGAGCTTGGCTGCAGAGCACTTCGGGAGCGTTGGCAGGCCACTGGAGACTCCCATGAACTCCTATGGGACGTACACCTCCTTGCTGAGCCAGGAGAGCGGGCACAATGTAAGGATCTCATTCTGCTCCTGAGCTCACTGTTTTATTTGGCAGCGTTTCTTGGGGGTGCTAGCATGGGGAAGGCACAAGCCACTGGTTACTAGACAGCAATCACCTTCCTTGTTCATAGCAGCCCCTCCTTGCCAACTTCCAGACAAATTAATACTAGCAAAATACTGCCCCTTAAAAGCCTAAATGCCTTTTTTTTCCCCCTCCTCTCTCTTTCTTCTCTTAGCCTGAAAACAGCTGTATTCTGTCCAATGGTTATGCGGGACTCTCTGGAGACTTCCTGGTGCCGAGGGGGAGATCTGCTACTTCCAGCAAGCTGCACTCCTGCACAGAAGTGCTTCCAGATCACCATCACACATCCAACAGTGACTTTTTCCTTTAGGAGAAGCAGATTAGATGCGACAAAACAGGATTATTCACATACCATATGGGGAGAAGCTGTGTTAAAGTTACGGATAGCAAAGAGCCCTGTCATGTGTGTCCTGCCACTGCTCTCAGTGTCAGTTACTTTGGCTTGGCTGACTTTGTTCTTTCTTCTATTTTATCAACCTCTTGTGATGCTGATCCTGCAGCGCAAGGAAGAAGGAAAACTGTGTCTGCCAGACTGTACGTCTCAGAGATGTCCCTGGCCTGAGAACTTAGGTTACCATTAGGGCAGGCAGCAGGACTGCAGAGCGGGGCTTCTCTGGGGCATGGATGCTTGGAATCAGCCAGCACACGCAGCATCTTTGTGCAGCTATCTTGGCATGGCTTAGATTTGGTCAGCTTTGGCCCATTACAAGACTCCAAACTTTAGGACATATTTTTCATGACCTCTCTCATTCTATCCTGACCCCCTGGTTTTTGCTTCCCCAGCAGAAATGTTGTCAGCCCTTTCTGTCTATGCATCTTGCAGCAGGAGAGTTAATTCTCAAGTATTTTGGCCTATTTTATTGACTTTTATGGCTGTTGCTGCTTTTAAATGGTGCTTAGAGACTAACTTTCGCTCTAGAAAGGGAAAGGATTGCTTTCTAACACCTACCAAGGTGCTCTGTGTTAAAGATGTGATATTAATGTGCAAGTCTTGCACTCTGCAGAGAAATTAGAGTAAGGTCTCTGTTGCACGAACCTTTGCAGTTCTGTCATTAAGTGAAAGGGGATTTTTTTGTTTGTTTTGTTCTGTATTTTCCAGGCTTTTTGAAACACTAGCTGCTTTCATTATTGCTGCTTCACTCCCAAAGTTGAATAGCCCTTGACCTTGTCTGTCCAAAGCAGCCCTCACCTCTGAGGAAGGTTGGATTTCTGCACTCTGCTAGGGTGGGCAAGGCTCACATCCTTTAGCTTCACTGATGCTTTCTGATGAGCAAACATTTACAAGCAGGTCCTCCCAAAAGAATTGTGTGTAGAAAAAAGACAGAAGGTTTTCACCTATGGTATTAACTTTCCTGCTTTCCCTGCCAAGGCACCTTTGGCTATGGCACAGGCCACGGTGAATGGATGCTTGTTTTAAAAAGAAATCTGAGCCCTGACTTCTGTCTCATATTGCACTGGTTCTTTTGGAGCCAAATTTTTGTGTGTCCAATGCATTTTTAGGACCTAGATTAGATGTCCTGCACTCAATGTCCAGCTGTTCAGGTACTTCATTCTCAATCTAGGATCAAACTGGCATATAAGCCATAACTTGCATCTGTGCCTAAACAAAATGCAGAAAAGTAGTGGAATAGACTGCTAACTGAAGGAGAAAATTCAGATATACTGTACAAAGGAAAGTTTTCAGTAAGATAAAGAAAAGTATGATGTTTAAATACTGACATAGTCATATTTTCCCATAGAAATGAAATACCACCCATACATATGTATATGAGTTAACGGATACGTTTTTATGCCACTGCAGTGAAGAAGAAAATCTCTTCCCAAAACATTAAATTAGTATCCTATGGGATGAGACAAATAGACTGTTCAAAGGATCAGAAATATGTCTGCTAAGAAATCTGACAAAGCAGAACCTCTTCCTGTGTGTGCAGCATTGGCTTCATGTTAACTTTCCATCTTTTTTCTTTTCAATAAAATGTTTTGGATGTCAGCCTTTGTAATCTCCCTCCCTGCATGCTTCTTGCTTGTCTCTGTAGCCTTGTTCAGCCACTAATGAAATAACCTGACCTCTACCAAGTGTTCCCATGGATCTTGGTCCTGGAAGTTATGAGCGATCATATGGTTGCCAGATATCCTGCCTGCTTGCCACCAGTCTCTAACACCCTAATGATCCAGAAGGATCTAGGGAGGCCTTACCCTTCCTGACATGTTTGCCATGGTAGTGTGCTTTATTTGCCCTCAACATGGAACCAAACTGTCCAGTGCTCTCCAAGGAGTCTGTTCCCTACATAATTCATTCCCAGCCTCACACCAGCTGCTGCCTGGCTGCTGTTCGTCTCCTCCTTGGCCTAATGGTAGCTCTTTGTGAAGCACCAGGCCAAGTAACCTGTTGCAGAGCAAAATACCCCTCATGAGTCTCAACAAGTGGCAGAGGAGTAGCCACTGTTTATTCTCCAGGCTGGACCAAGCCAGCTGGATTTGGATTTGCAACAGTTCTTGAGCCAAAGCATGGTCCCTCCAGCACAGAAAAAGAAGAGAGGAAGGGGAATCCCTCTGTTCCCTCCTGGTAGGAGTAGAATCCCGGTAATCATGAACACTTTGAAGAAAGGGAGAAATGAAGTTAGGCAAGACCACGAAAGCTAAGGAAGGAACAGGCCTGTACATTACATGAGCTGGCTGTGTCTGTGTGGTACATGTGGTGGCAATCTCAGAGTTATTTTAGACTCCAGCTGGGAAGTAGCTCTGATCCCAGTTTTTGCCGTACCCTGCCAAGCCCATGCTACAAATATGCTCCCATCGGCTACATGGTGAGAAGCTGCCAGTATTGATTCAAGTAAATGACTGTAGTGCTACTTTGCGCTCCTGGATATGTGTTTGTGCCTCACTGCCCTCCTGGGAAGTCACTGCAGGGACAGGCCTTCTCCAGCCTGGCACACCTGTCTGCCAACTCAGGTTGAGCTTTGCTATCCTGTGCTGTGGGGTTAGATGGCAGCCCTCTTCCCAGCACCCACCTTACAGCTGAGCTGAACTGAATGCTTTCCTGTGAGGCAGGGCCCTCCACGTCCTCCAAACACACGCATCTCTCTGGGATTGCAGTCAAATCTCCAGGGTTACATGCCTGACATATGGCTTGGCCTGAAAAGGCGTAACTAAAAGCGTAATCTTTGCTGTGAGGGGTTCGTTAATTGCTCCAGTCAGACCTTCTCCACCTCTCTACATCTGTTTGAAACCCTCCCTCACTGTTGAATCAAAGGAGTCGTGATTCTTTAGGCAGACTCATCAATAAAACATGGTGACCCATTAAGCATAAGAGCAACTCCTCAATTGCATTTCACAGTAATAGCAGTTCCACACACAGAGGCGAGGCAGACCACCACCAAAACACAGGCAACTGAACCCTAGATCCAGTGGAGGAAAGGAAAGCGTGGGCAAGGAGCGGACAAAGGCTCTTCCTATGCTGGGCCCCACAGCAACACTGTGGAGAAGAGAAACAGTCCTCTTGGTGGGGGAAAAAACAAACTCCAGATGTCTAACTCTAGCCATGTTCCCTCAGATCCTCATGGATAAGGCATGTTTTCTCCAGTGCTCTAACCTCTCCCGGACAACAGCATTGCTTGCAGACAACACTTTGTTGTGGCAAGAGCAGAGCAAATTTCTGGGCAGCAGAGTACACACTGACATGATGGGAGTACACCACGGCATTTCTGCAAGCCACCAGTGAAACAAGTCATTTGTGAACAAGTACAAAAGCAGGGATTTCTGTCAGGGATTGGTGAGGCCTGCCCGCTCTACAAGAGACAGGGGTTGAGCACAGCAGCATGGCCAGCAGCGCCAAGGCCTCACCAGCCAGAGCTTCAGCCAAAACACGCAACTGGGGCAAGCAGGGCAAGCCCAGGCACGGCAGCTAAGATCAGCTGAGAGTCCAGACCATCTGGCAAATTCATGGTGATGGGACAGATCTGTGGTCATGCCAGGAAATCAACCCACAGGTCAGGCCATGAGGGTAACCAGCATCAGACAGCCCAGTGATGGCAGCTAGGAACACAGCAGTAGGAGAGATCCAAAAACTAAATGTCAGGGTCCAAATAAATGCAGTTCATGGCCATGTGTGGCTGTGGCTCAGCTGGAGACCGTTACTCTGATAATATAAGTAAGACAAGGAGTGAAGGTCCAGAGCTGGGCTCCTGGGCCTGTGGGATGTGCGTCAAAGTCCTAGGTGAGGCTGGTTAGGGTCATTAGGGCATAATACTGCGCTCAGAGGTGTGATGGTGACCCCAGGAACTCATTCCTCACCAGTAGTTTTAGGGTTAGTTATTGCCTGAATCTGGTAGACTAGGGTGAGGAGAGAGGATTATGACTGTGGGAAGGGATGTGGGGTTGTTTAGGGTGCCAGGAAGGTCTTGGCTGTTTTTTTGGATGTTCAGCACAAAGCAGCCTTCAATATGCAGGTCATGGCAAGAAACAGTAAATGCAATCTAAGGTTTCCCCTTGTTGCGCCTAATATGTAATCCAATATGCTTCCTTGTTATTTTTTGCATTGCAATTATCACTGTGACTATTAATTATTGAGGGGGAAAAAAAAAGTCTGATTACATTGGAGCAAAGAAGGACAGCTCCAAGATGCACAGAACCCTTCTATGCACTCTTTAAGGATGACTTAGAAGCTTCAGTGCCCTTCTTATAGCCACGGCTAAGAAACACCTTAAGAACCGAATGTGCACGAAGACACATTTCCATCTCAGAAGGAAGGGAATGATGCTAGCAGCTCATGGCATCTTCCTCTGATGTGATGTGACAGCAGAGTACTCTAAACACTGTCTCAGGAAGCCAATTATAGGCAAAACGTCTGTTTTCATCTCCCCTGGCCCATCCCCTCCAGCTACAGTTGAGACACGCTTGCAATTCACTGTTTCATGTCTGGGAGAAGGATCCATTCTAAAAATCAGCTGAGATAGCTGGAAATAATTCACAGGAGCATCTTAATAAATAAGTAAATATCTACCTCTCTGACATGCCCCTTTGTGCCTTTTTCTAGTGGTACGAACACCCATGGCTGCCTGAGCAGCCCTCCACAGGGAGCACACAGGACCTTCAACAGAAGCTGCCATAGTCTCCTTGAAAGAAGCCAGGGCTTGCCATAATCTTATATGTGCTCTTTGCAATGCAGATGAGGAATGTATGTCCAAATGGACAAGTGTCTGAGTGGTTGTCTGGCACCTGTTGCCTTCAGTGTGCTGAAATAAGCAGGTATGAGGCAAAATGTGTCCGCCTCAAAAAGGTCTGCTATCCCAGTGATTCTTGAGAACTATG